GTGGAACCACCCCTTCAAGGTTAAAACGTGTTTTAAAAAAAACTGTCACAATGCTAATTTAATTATGTCCGTAACGAATTGCTACGACCATCTCCTGTACAATAATTATATATATCCTGTAGACTATAACATATTTAAGTTGCAATGAAATTTGAAATGTTACTCCAAAAATTGTCCGATTTCGCGTGGAATGACCCACACATATGTTCCTTCTATTGCTCAGTGTCGAAATGAAAATGGGAAGGGTCAAACGATTATTCATTGTTCATACGCCAGAGGGAAGGGAGTATAACGCAGCTGCTGCACGGACGGCGCGTCCGTAACACCGAATCATCCCGAAAGTCTTAATTAGTCTTGGGATCTCTGATCGGTAATACGTTCCAGCGATAAAAATTTCGCGTGTTTTACCCGCGAGCACGTGGAATCGCGAACGGAAAGCGCTTTATGTATTTGTACAACCTGGGACGAGGTGGCAGGTGACGATCGGGATCCCGTCGATCCACATGAGTCAGCTATGCGCACGAGTTGTGTCAGGTGTAAGCAAGTAACGTTGAAAGCACCACGCGTGGCTCCGTTCGCCTCTGCTCACCTTGCCCACCAAATAAATGAGCTGTCTGTTCATTTCGTCCGGTTCGCGAAATTGAAAACGTAATCTAAAAAGAAACGGGTTATTAATTTTGATCGACATTTCCTTATTTCGGTACACCGTGCAACGCGACGAAAAGAGCGAAGGCAACCGAAAATAGGAACCACTAATAAGAAAATATTCGTTTTTATGACAATCTGAGGAATCGAGTTGAAAGTTATAAGGTACATATATCATTGAGTGTTTCCGTGAATTGCATCGTTTGTCGATGGTCGTACAAAGGAACCGGTCCTGATTCCGCCACCATTAGCGTGGCTATCATCGGACGCGATCTTTGCGAAGAAGAAGAAGGGGCCGTACGCCGTGTTCCTCGCGTCAGGTGCAAATTTTTCGACAGTGTGGCCGAGCAACCGGCGTGTTTCGAACGGGGAAATTTCAGAGAGACAAGCGTTGGGACAGGTGGACCGAGCAACTACACACAGGTACACGTACCACAGGATCGCGAGGAACCAGCCGAAAACCGGAAGTTGCTCGAGCATGCAGGCATCGGGGGTATTTTACGGCACGCGCACCCCTCACTCTGATATTTTTTGTTTTGTTATGTAGACCGCCATCGTTCCACCGGCTGCTTGCTCGCGATTGCATCGATCATGCCGGTTAAATTGCGTTAGAAATCAAATCGTGAGCGTTCGCCGGATGTGGGTTGGTTCCGAGTTGTAGACGATCCCTGTAAGGAACAAGATCTGGATAAACGAATACTTCATCAAGCCTTTAATACTTAGCAGAGAAGACCAAGGACAAACGTAACAATTTGTCTTTTTGAGTCTGTAGCATTTAAATTTTGTAAAGTTTTTAAAACATTCATACACGTGACAAACCTTGACCATCTAGTCTAGGTCTACAACTTTTGAAATGAAACTTCGCACAGATTATTTTTTTATTAATTAAAACTATTTTAGAGGCTGTCCCTAAATAATTCTATGCTAATGTATATACATAGATACACTATGATTATAGCAGTGAGACACGCTGCTCTAGAAGATTTCAAGGGGAGCGATTATCGTAAGATGGGGGTACTCGTGTTCTTTGGGAAAGGAGACGGTTAGAGTCGGGGGCTGGGCCTTACCTTCACGCTGGCGGAGGAGTTGTGCCTCGCGTGACGATGACGAGTGCCCGCGGGGGCGTCCGTCCTATCCTCTTTCGAGTTCCCCGAATCGCGTGCAAAGTGCAAAGACGGGTCGGGGACGAGGGCGCCCGCCGGGAGTAACGTGCAGTTGTTCGTGGCCCACGGTCCGAGAAGAACTCGCCTACGACTCCCAAGGTGTATCGAAGGAACGAGCCGGTAGTCGCTTCGCCGCCGTCGATCCACCACCACCGGGAACCATGGAGCCTGGATGGAAAAGCATGCACCTTAAACGTGGGCGGATCGCTCGGCCAGACGCCCCGGGTGTTTCTCACCCGCATACCTCGCATACGTGCCGCTCATCTTCGATCCTCTTCCTCTTCATCTTCTTCCTCCCATCGTACGATCTTCTTTTCCTTGGATCGTGGATCCTCGATTTTCTCAGGATATCCGTTTGTTATTAAAGATGTATATAGACTTCATTCACCTAGGGTTACAACTTTAGACTGTTTTACAAATTTACATACTTCCTCGTTAATCGACTACTTCACCTCTCACCGTAGATGGAATCTTGTACTGTCCCGTTACGATGTCTGCTGCTGTCCCGACAATTGGAATCTGGTTTTTCGGATCTGTTCGAGCACTCATTTCTCGTAACTTCGTTCGCGATAAGAAGTTTGTAGTGGAATTTCTGGCCCTGAAACTTTCGAAATTGATGGTCAGTGTTCGTTCGAAATACTCCGGTCTGCTGTGCACGGCTCTGCGTTTTGGAATGTAAATGATGGACGTTGAAAGGCTTCAGAAGAGACACTCGGAGAAGTGGAACAGACGAGGTAAAACCGAGCGGGCCAAGAGAGAACGGAAGGAAGAAGGAGCAAGCTGTTGTTATATGGAAGCGAAGAAGAGAAAGGTTGAACACGCTGTGGCTCCTCGTATCGCCTCCGGGATGTTCCCATGAGTCGGGGGCGGTTGGAAGAGAGACCAGTTCGTTACGTTCCGAGTTGTTTCGTCGGCTACTCGAGGGCATTCGGAGTCCTCGGTTATATATCGATGCTTGCATTCAACCGGCCGTCGTGCCGGGTCGTTCTTGAAAACGCGTTATTACGAGAATCCTCAATAAACGTTCCGACCCATCTCCCTCCGCCACGTTTCTGCCGTTCCGTGCGAAACCGTAGGACCGGTTGATTTGAAAGATTCTTGCAACGTTCCTCTTCGTCACCTCGATTATTCCCTAGGATTTCGACCTTACTCTTCTAGCCCCCAGACCCTCCGCCAACGTTCCTCTTCGTCACCTCGATTATTCCCTAGGATTTCGACCTTACTCTTCTAGCCCCCAGAATCTTTCGATCGGATTCCTCCAATTTCACACTGTGGCATTACATTTCTCTGCGTTTCTAACCATAGAAGTCTACCAAATGGCTTCTACACTGATCGATACTATCTACCCTGCCTTGTTAACAAAAATCTGGTGTTTTCAAGCTGTAGGTACATACGCATGTTGCTGTCGCGATCGCTAGTTTCTACGCGGATTTTAACCAACATATCAGCGAACGAAGCGATCAGGGTAGCATACGGGGACAGATATAGCATGTGCGTGCGAAGCCCCCGCGCGGCGATGTCTCGAATGGCCCCGAGAGGGGACAACGATCGGATGGTAAAGGTAGGAAACTGAAACGCGACGCGCGAGCCTTCGATCGATTCCTCTATTGTACACATATCCCCTCTGTTCGAGCAAGATTTCGTTGCGTTTGACTGTTTTATTTTTTTAGTATTGGGCCACAGCCGTAGCGCGATACGATAGCCGCGGATTATCATGCATGTGCATGTTGACAAAAGAAGTTTAGCTTGTAAAGCTGATTAAACCTTAGTTAATCACGGGAAAGCAGGACAGTATCCGGTGACAGGAGGATAGGTCCACGAGCGTGTTACCCAACTCACGTACATGCGTTCTTGATGACTTCGTTATCGAGCGGGCGGTCCCGCGCGGCAAACTCCGCGCCGCACAACCTTCTGCGTTCTTCTGGGCTCCGAGTCTCGTCGACATAGCGATTGAATTCGGTGCTACAGTCCATGAATTTCCCGCATTCCATACCCTTTCCACCTGACTATCGCCCAACTAGATTCTCACGCTGCCACCGGTCCATCCCGATCGGAGAGAGCTTCTTCACGCCTCATGTTACCTGAATATCCCGCGCGCACGCAACATCCACCGACGAGAACATACCGCGATTCAGTTAACCTCGATAGCCTTCGACGTATGTATACTATACGATGTACGTCCTGTGCTATTTTGTCGTTACCGTTGTTTATTCTCACCTAAACGGAAAACTGAACGTTATTGACCGTTTCTAATCGTACGTCTGGACTATTTTCGTTTTTAAATCAAGTTTTTCTACTTGCTTGAGATAGTTGTAAAATACAGGCAGCAGAGTATTTAAACGGAATTTTACCCGTCAGAGAATATGAAACGAATGCTTCTCAAACTACGAAGCATAGAAACAGAAAATGACGTGTATGCGCTTACGTTGTACGCTTCTACTTACGTAAAGGCGTGCGATAATAAAGTCGTGTTTAGAAAAGAGGCCTCATTACATAGTGTGGGAATTGTAAATGCGTAACGATTCTTCTCATGGCTGCTCTCCTGGCACACCAGGGAAGCGCCGCAGCGCCACGCGTCACGGCGAACATCATCGCAACGCACGGCGTCTTTGCGCCGGCCATCGCGAAACGTGTTTTTCGATCTATCCGTTTGGTCGCGTCCTGTTCTTTCTCGACTCTTAAAGTGGTGTTTCGTTTCGTCTACATACACCAACTTTGTCGCATTCAATCTATCTGTCTCCTTCTTCTTTTTCTGGCAAGCGTTATTATTGTAATCGTATTAGATGAGAATACGTACGCAACTATTGCAAACAGTATCAAAACGGTGCGAAGGTACAACTTAAAAAATGTACTAATAGGAACAATATTTGCAGGTAATTAGTAAACATTTTAAAACCTACAATTGCTGACTGTTTTCGTGGACATGTGAGAAAGTACGTGTATATACTGCTCTCTGGTGTTGGCCACGAAAAGTACGAATGAAATTTTGGGATAGTGTGCCCATGATAACGTCACGATCCTATCGTGAACGATCAATTCTATACAGCAGGTCACGGCAAGAAGTGATAAAGAGGGAATGAAGCAGAACAATTGTCATTGCGATGCATATTAACAATATGAGCGGACTATAGAGGAATATAGGAGAGATAATGGTGGAAATAGCGAAATACGTACAACTGTTAAAATTGTTCAGTTCGTTAACGACGGATCATTTATAAATTACAAAACTCATTTCGAGTACACGAAATTGAAGCGTGCCTTATTACATAGTAATACTTGTACTTGTTTAACTTTGAATCGCTTAACGTTAACGAATTTTTCGTTAGGAAATCGTTTTGCCCTTCAGAGGCAGCGATTCTTCGACATCGAGGACGTTTTCGTCGTTTTCTTTATTCCGTGCATCCGCCACGACGGGATTGTTCCATTTCTGCAGCTCACCAGTGCCGAAGATCGCGAAGGTCAGAGCGCCGGTACAGTAGGTCGCTGCCAAGATCCAAAAGATGATGGTCCATTGCGCGTACGTTTGATTCTTATACGTTATCGAGCCGACCATGTGGCTGCTCAGAAATCCGCCCAACGAACTGAGAGTGTTCGCCAAGCCGAAAATCGTTCCGGAGAAGTTTGGCGCGATGTCCAAACCGTTCCCTAGATAACCGGCCGTGACAGCGCCGTTGATGGTCAACGCGATTGTGAAAATCGCCACTGAGGCGACACGATCGCATCCCTGATACGCCAGCGCGATCATCAACAGGCCTGGACTCATCACAGCTGTAAAAGCACCGATGGAAACATCAGCGATAGAATTGTCGAATCCATACACAACGTACGTTATTTGTTTACTCACCAAATGTAGTAAATATCTTCCGAATAGCAGTCACCGACAGCATCTTCTTCTTCAGCAAATGATCAGCCAGTGAAGCCGTCGCTACAGCGAAAATGTATTTACCCAGGTACGGTAGCGAGGAAAGCATTCCATTCTACGCAAGAGGATGGTGGATGTGATAAGAACCCGAGTGATTCAAAAGAGAAACGTCGACGTCCAGATGACAGGACCTTACCTGTTTAATGTTAAAGTCCAGAATGTACTTCATGTAAGTCGGTAATTGGTTGACAACGGTGAAATACCCGAACACGCTGCATCCGTGCGTGACTACAATGGCCCAGACTGGAGCTGACCGGAAGATGGATTTCCATGGAACGGGTAGACCCTGGAAACGCGAGTCCACACGGACCGATTGTAAATGACTTTTGATCGCGGTCGAGTTTATCGTCCGTTTTTTTTATTTACCTTAGTCACGGTGCTCGAACCGATCGCATCCTCGATGTAACGACGCTCCTCGTCGGAGATTCTCGGATGTTCGGCGGGAGAATCGAATATCAGGAGGAACCAGGACACGCTCCATAGAAGCCCGATCGCGCCGGTTACATAGAAAACCGATTCCCATCCCAGGGAAGCGATCAGAAATCCACAGATCGGCATAGTTACCGCCGCTCCGAGCGACGAGGCTGAAACGAATCGGATGGATTATAATCTAGTTTTCTTTTAGAAGCCTTCTGCGACAAATACCATACCCATCATGTTGGAGACAAACTTGCTGCGTTCCGTCGGTGGGATCCATCGGGCTGTCATCGGTTGTATGGCAGGCCAAGTAGCGCCCTGCGTTACAGAAACGATGTCAACGAGGGAAATGGAAAATTGTTGTGGAAACCAACAAAAAATACGAATACGTACCAACATAAATCCAAGGACTGTTCGTAAAGCAGCAACCGCGACATAGCCGTAAGTCGTTGCTAATGGGGTCAGCAGCGTTATAGCGCTGGAGACCAGCATACTATACCCAAACACTCTTTTGGCGCCTATAGTCTCCGCGAGTCTTCCGCCCGGTAGCTCTGTACAGATGTAACCCCAGAAGAAGCTTCCCAAGACAATATTAACATCGTATTCGTTCCACGGGTATCGCGTCTGTTTCGTTTCTTCCTATAGGTCGAAAACAAACCCCTTACTCTCTATCTCTTTTCTTTTGTTTTAGACTGAGAATATCGGTAAACGACACATACTGAACGGAGAAAAATAGCTTACAGGTTTTTTCTCTGCATCCATGGATGGAGAGGAGGAACGGTGGCTTGTGCGGTTCGATGAATTCACCGGGATCGGAACCGTTGCCGTCTCCCCTATCGTCGTGTGCTTCAGCGAACCGGGGCCAATCACGGTTCCCCGGTGGACGCCGCATGCACCGGAGGACGAGTAGTTGAATCCATTTTGATGAGACGGGTCGTTATCGGGCACGACCATCGACACGATCGCTATCGTTAGATTCACGCGTAACATGTAATTGAACATGAAACCCAAGATCACCATGATGTTCAGCACCTGTCTGCACGTCAGCCGATCTGAAATGGACATGTAACATTGGAGTATAACGAGCAACGAGGACATTTCACGGTTCGTCGAGTCCTGTTGCGATTCTACTGTCGCGTGCGCGAACGATGAGCAAATTTTTACGTAAGTTTCCGTCCATCTCGTTCATTCTCGTCGTCCACCCGTTGAGATCTGTCCGAGGCACAACCACTTTCTCTCGTGAAAACGTATTTGTTCGGTTATCAGAGAATTGTTGAACAGCCGGCCCTCGTGGTACTCTGGTCGCTTTCTAGGACTCTGGCCCTCTTTAGGACTCTTGAACTTCTATTGGTCAAACAAACAAATTCGAGGATAGTCTCGATCCACGCGTCACTTCCCAGAACCATGGATCGCGCGAGCACACGCGTGTTCTATTCGATGATACTCGACCGATTTCGATGTACACATGTACTTGGAGCAGTGTTTCCCAACCTTTTCCGGGTCATGCCCCACCTCAACGACTCAAAGATCCCGATGCCCCCCTAACATAAATAGGTAAACCAAGGTCTGAAAGAGTTTAACATTAATAGCTGCTGCAAAGAAAAAAAGCACACAGGTAAAACTGTTGCCGATTAGGTGACAAATGTCAATAGTTTGCCAATTGCCCGTGAAACTATTCAAATTGCCCCTCAGAGTGATGTCCATCGTCGAAAGAAAAATTAGAGGGTAAGTGCGTGTTCCCATCGTTGATTCTTCACGCGTGGGTACCCTCGATCGCGAGACCGCGTTTATAGATCAATTCGTGCAACGATCGTTTCAACGAATTGACAAATCAGAGGGTCGCCCGTGACCTCGATGCAACGGACTCGTCCCTCGAGATCCAACGAGCGACGAATCTCCACGGGGAGTGGGGTGCTCGCGTTTGTATTTTACGAGCAGGGAATTCACGGCGTCGATCTCGAGAATTTGATGGTCTTTTTAATTGAAAAATTCCCCCTATACGCGAAATTGGATAAATTGGAAAAACGAGATGCTTCTCTCCACCGCGACAAGACACGAAACGGATACGCAAGAGATCTTCGACACGCGACGAAACTTCGTCACCGCGACCTTCACCCAGAACTTCAGCGTGACCATTTCCGGGCCGCTATTAATACGCGTCGGCGAGGACGTTTCTCGTTAGATCGGGCCGCGGCGTGGACTATGAAACTCTCGTGTAGACCGATAATCCGCACTTTTAATAACTCCTTGCCCCCTGAATGCTAACGTCATTAAGCCCCAGACGGTGATTAAAGGTCGACGCTAACGACAAAAACGAATTTCAGGCTAGTCACGGTCAGTGGAGATCAGAGAACGTGTACCGAGTAACAAATCGAAGGATCTCTTACCTAGTGGATTTCGGTTGGAAGCCATTCTGGGATACCGGCAAAATCGTAAGAAGAGATGGTCCTGATATCCTCTGCAACCGTGCGCTGGAACCTGTACGTACAATTACTCCTCCGTCAGGATTCGAAAAAGTCGAAAAATCCAATGAACCAGGACAGAAAAGCTTTCGTACGTTTTCGAAAGTAGCTCAGAGATCGCGCGCGCGCCGAGACGAGAGGAGATAAGCCTCGTCGCGCCGCGCCACCTCGACGTGTCGTTTCTTCCGCGTGCAGATCGCGAAGATCGGCTGGCGTATGTTTGTGTGTTGTTCGTTTGCAGCGAGATCGTTGCCAAAATTGTATTATCTTTACTAACTAAATCGTTCCACGCGCTCGGAATATATGTATATATCGGTTGCGACGACGTTGGCAGCAGCTGCCGGTCGAACTGTGCGCAGACCGGACACTGGCAGCGACAGCGGCTTGTTGCCAGATTACGACAGCTCTCGGATGATCACGCACAGAGGAGCTCTATTCTGTTCACACGCCTGTTTGCCTCTTCGCGGTACATTCCTACTACCGTTGTTATAGACACTTCTGTGTAATGGTCTTCTTCAACGATCAGCAGACCCCCTCTGCACAGTCGCGATGTGTCGTCACCGTTGTTACACGAAACACACGATGTGTTATATGTATGTATAACCGTGAACGTCACTAGAGACACAACCACCGAATGGTTAGGTGTTCCTCCTCGGTACGCTTTCCGTCTGCAACGAAAACTCTTCGACGTGCACGCACGTATATACGGGACGAACGACCGCTTCGAGCCGCGTGACTTGCTCCCTCGGTTCTAGCCTGTCGTCTCTCTCTCGTTGCCAATTCGACGATCGCAAGGGAAGCCAGTCGCGTCGCCACGTTCACCTATTGTCCAACCCTCCGGAGTTTCGACCTGAAGCCGAAGAACCAACCAACGGAGGTGTCCCTACGGAACCGTTATTCCATTCACGAGCAAAGGGAAAGTACATATGTATTATATAATACACACGCCAGGATGGAAATACCTGGAAGACGACGCCAGTTGGCGCGTTTCTCGTGGAAAGCTCCACCGAGGATCGACCCCCTGGTATATGTATCGTGGGTTGGCAGGTCTTTGAAGCTTGTGAAAAAGTAGGGGGTTAGGTATGGCCTGGCGGGAAAAACCATTTCCCAATGACCGAACGTGGACGGTTCTTTGTCGAATCGTAGGATTGAAAGTTTTACTCGAGTATTATATGTACATGTCGCGTCGTATAGTTTCATATTTCTACGGTACAAAACGTCCGTGACGAGGGACACGCGACCGATGTACACTATCGGCCAAAAGTATCGGACCAGGGTTTATGATCGATGGAACGGTAACTTGTTATTCGTTTACGATGTAATAAAAGCTTACGGAATCGGTACAATCTACGATTCATTTCCAAACAGGTTTAGCACATTCACTTCTTAGCTACGGTACACCATAGTGGCTTTCCTCGATGTCATTTTTTGCAACTCATAGTGGTTCACTTATATATCATTATACAATTTATATATTTATTCATAATATATTATTTAAATTTTTTTAATGAAAAAGAAAATAAACCGAAATTAAATTTTTTGAGATACCGTTCCTCGTTTAGTCTAGCCGTAGCTAAGAGATTAATTATCAAACTTGGTCCCAGAACTTTCGGCCGTTAGTGTATTCGCGCGAAAACACAGATCGCGAAAATGAACGTGTATCGCTTTCGATGATCAGTCCAGGATGTTCAGTTTGCTGTTCGTTTTTCGGAGCTGTGCTCGCCACGGTATGATCTGTGCGTTGTCTTCTTCGTCCTCTGGATCATTCGCTTGGGCAACGCGATTCCCAGGGGGGCTTGTGGTTGCGTCGTTTTTCTTCTCCTCGGGTTCGGACGGTTCCTCCTGGCGATTTGTCGCGGACGGCGAGGCGTCCCGTTTCTGGGACATCGGCACCACGTCCACCTTTGCGGGCGGCAACGTTTGCGCGTGGTTCAGTCTGAAAGTAACGAAAATTAGTCTCGAGATCTCGTTAACCCTTTAACTCACATTGTTGCAAGCATCATTTTAAAAATATGTCGAATTCTGTTGTCGATTAATATGTAACTTTTGCAAAAAAAAGTCCTATTTTCTACAGCTCGATGAATGAGTAAACTGATGTTTTTTGAAATTCTGACATGTTGCGTTTTGTCATTACAGTCATAGATACCATTAGTTTTATAGTTTTGAAGTAACGATTTAGAGGTATGGGTGTTCAAGGGTATAAACGAACGTATTGCACGCACACCTTTTCTCCTCGTGATCCTTTTTGGCGAGGAGTTGCCTCTTCCACGCAGGAATCGCTTTCTGCCGTCTCTCCTCGTTCTCCCTGGCTATTTGCTCCTCCAGTTCCTTCTTCGCGCGTTCGGCCGCTTTCCGGGCGAGCATTTGACGCTTCCATATCGGTATCAGGTTCCCGGAACTGTCCTTCTCGGGAATCTTCTCGGGGCGAAAACACGGAGACTCAGGTGAAACAGCGTGACGAAAACAGCGGTAAAACCACCGTACGAGGACTATACCTCGTCGGTTCTGAACACGTAACAATGTGACAAAAAGGAAAAAGACATTCGAGTCTTACCTGATCTACGAAATTCGAAACGCTGAACGCCTTACTGATCTCCGACATGAGATTCTGCTCCTGCGTCTTCTCGACCTGGGCCATTTCAACCTTCATCTTCTTGATCCCCGGAATATCTTTAGTCTTTTTCAATTCCGCGATTAAATCCGTCTTTTGAACGAAGAACGGCTCTGAAACTGAACCCACAAAAATGGAAATAGTCACCTTAACATTATACCAAGAAAGAATTCATCGGTGGTTTAAAAATTGCCCCAATGCGCATCTCTTTTATCGCTTACCGTTAGTCATGGACACACTGCGTGGCGGTGGAGCGTTGAACGTTTTGGTAGCGTTCATTTTCGCCGTGGTTCTGCGTAGCTGTATGCTCGTCAGGTCTTGGATACTGATGGTCGCGAGTGGTTGCGAGTTTCTAGCGTTCGATTGATCGAGCTCGGTGGTCCCGTTACCGGTACCGGACCCGTTTCCGGTACCGGGCTCCTCGCCGTTTCGTCGCGATCGTTGCAGTGGCGACAGTGGCGGCGGTGGCGGTCCCGAAGTCGTCTCTTTATCCTTATCTCCGCCTCGATCGCCCTCTGCTACCGCCACTTCCTCCTCCGTTTGTTCCTCATCCGCCGTTGCGATCGTCTCCCGTCGATCCCCTCTGCTCTGTATATCCAAATTGTCCACCGACCTACGAAACGGGGTTGCACCTTTTTTTTTTAAACGTGGCCCGTTTGATTAATCGCGCGCACGAACGATTCCTAGAACGCGCGATATAATACACGGCCCACTTGACCGAGATTTCTCTCACAGACCTTGCCTTCGACAGACTACTGCTCTTCGATGTGGTTTTACAGATGCTCTTGAGATACTCGGACGGCTTCAGTAACGTGTTCGAGTCCGCGTTCGCGAACTGCGGCGGTATAAACGGCAGCACCATGTGCCTGTTCACCAGATGGGCCGTTTGGATCGCCTTAATTTCCTCGGTGTCCGCCGTTGGACTGGCAGACCCGGCCACTTCCGGCTGTTGATGCTCGCCGCAGGATACGTCGGACTTGTTGGTCGCTGTTCCGAAACAGAAGCAAACGGATGGTGGTGGGCGGGTGAAGAGGGGGGGGGGGTTTAAGAGGAGGAATCGTTGTCGGGGCAAGTGAAATCTAGGTAAGTGTATTATATGCCCGATGAGCGCCATGGTCTAGTAAGCTGTGTGTGCCCGTCTTCGCGATCCGCCAACGACGCGGCGATGGTTTAATTGCAACGGATTGGTCGTCGGCGCAACGCCATCTGGCGTTACGATTGTATATATATGGAGCCGTTGGATGGAAAAAAAGTCAATTTCCAACACTAGACCGACCAAACCCGTAAAACTGACGGATTTAAAAATTTATACTTTACAACTACTGAATTATACATTTTATCTTATACCATATTCTGTTATATTGTAGTATACAGGGTGAACCACGAATCGTGATCAGTTGAGATTACTTTGTTATTAGAGAGCTTTAACGTGATTATAGGACAGTTTTTGTCAACTCTTTTTTTTTTCTCATGATTTTTTCAAAGTCACCTTCAATTCGGTAAGTATTATAACATAACATGTGTTACTTTTCTTTTTTTTAATTGAATGTTTGAAAGAAAATTGAAGGGGACCTTGAAAAATTATGAGAAAAAAAGAGTTGACAAAAATTTCGCACTCGTCGCCTCACCTAAAGTGGCAATCGGCCCGTTTTCGATCTTTCCATCCCTGTTCGCCTCGTCGTCCTTTTTCCCGTCGCGCGTAGTTGCGTCCGTTGTCTGCTTCGAGTTCACCACGAGCACAACCACGTCCTCCCTGTCCGGTGGCGGTGGCGGCGGTGGTGGCGGGGGCGGTTTCGCGAAACTGCCAAAGAACCGCAACCGGGGAAGAAGAAGAAAGTACCGTAAGCTCGATTTTTCCTAATATCCGTACGCGGCGGTCCGTTACGAACGAAGGTATACAGGGTGTCTCGTTCAAGTCTCATCCCAAATATATTTTTAATTGTGAAAATACAAAAAAATGTAAAAGTTTTCTAAAATATTTCTTGCGTTCTCACAACTAAAAAAGATATTTCAAGGGGGGGGGGTCATACTTAAATGAGACACCCTGTATATATATATGAGGGAGGACCGTGTGCAGCGAGCCATCGAACACTCGACCGACTACGACGACTTGTACGTAAGCTCAGATCGGTCCAGTTTATCGCGTTCTTACCGGTTTTTCCGCTCGACGTGAAAACGATCTGAACGCGAAAAATCTCAAGCGCTTGTCGAGAGGAACATGCGTTGGTACACAAGTAACGACTCGTCTCGTGAAGAAACCGGATGGGATATAAATTGGATCGTCGCACGATCGATCGACGTGTATTTTGATTATACACGGGGCCGTATTTAACGAATTTTTCGTCGTGGTCGGTTATCACTCGTTCCACTTACCTAGCTCCGGTGCCAGCCGGTTTAACTTCCTTTTCGCTTTCTACTTGCGAGCCGGTGCAGTCTTTTTTCTCTGGAAATAGATATCGCCCGGTGTTGCCTTTCGTCAACGTTTCTATACGTTTATCGCGGACCCCGTACGAACGGAAATTTACGTACCGTGCGACGATTCGGTGCCGATCTTCGCCGTCTTGCCGATTCGTTCGTTGCTGCTGTGCCGCGAGAGCGACGGTGTCGAAGCGCTGGACGAGAAGCAAGGCACCTCGTTGCTGCTGAGGTTCGACGACTCGCTCGCGCTGCTCGATCGACTGAATCTTCGATCGGTCTTACGGGAACGACTGAAAATCCCCATTATACTCGAGATTCTCGTGTCTCTCGAACGGAATAACATCACCTGACAAACACCTTTTACCTTGCCTCGACGTTGTAATTCCCGTTTGTAAGTATCGGAACACTTATCGAATAGGTATACGATAAATGTTGCAATTGAATCTTTTAGGGTGGTTGTATAGTTGCGTCACGTAGCGTATTAATCAGTCTTGTGACTGTTTTGCTAGTTCTACTGTCGAAGCTCGATCGACGACGCGGCGAGAGGCAAGTGTTTACGGTTTTTGTTTTAGTATGTACCTGCCATCGGATGGGTTGTCGGACAATCGTTTTTGAACGGTCGTGCCACCGGGTTCCGGTTCCTGTCGCGGGCAGATCTGCTCGTACGCGTGTTCCGTCTGCTCGCGAACGGTTTGTTCGGGCTTGGCCGCGTAACAGTTCCCGCTGGACGGTCGCTCGGTAACACCGTTGTTGACGTGCACGTCCACTTTCACTGGAACCGATCGGTAAACCGACTGACACCGTCTCTCGAATATTCTCGTTGTACCGATGGATTCGGATCGATGGAATAGGGTAGGAAGACAGTTACGAATCTTCAGGTGAACAAATGTGTTCTCCAATCACAATGTTTTCCATCAACAATGTGTTCTTTATCTCGAGTACAGCTAGTTCAAACGGTTACGATTTTTCGAACTATTAAGATTTTTTGTGGCACAGGACTATCAAACGAAAAGCGTGGGAGGGGTGTAAAATACATAAATCTTCCAAAATTGACAATCCTCAATAAAATTAAATAACATTTAATCATAACGATCGTTTACAACGAACAATGCTATGTTATACTCTAACAATTTTAATCAGATTTGTTTCTACAAAATTTCATTCAATTACATCTTGCCATAAACGGAAAGCTTAGATCGGGCTTCCCTGAAAATTGATTCCCGTGCCTATAGCCCCTCCCTTAATCCGTCGTTGATCGACGCCAAATAATCCATATCGATACAATTCAAACGTTATCGCCATCGACTAGTATAAACGCTGCTTTATTACCGAATCGGTCGAAAATCCGTATTCTCCAAACCGCCTGCATTAATCCATATTTTGTAATCGGTTTCCTACCGATTCGTTCGCGTTGTATATAGAAAACCAGCGCGCTCGAAAGAGAGAGAGAGAGATCGTAGAAATGCAAAGTATGCGGGACGCGCTACTTACCGGTCAAAGTTTCCTCTTTCCTCTCCAGGTGCCGATGCTTGTTCTCCGTGTCGGTGAACAGCCGTGTGATTCTGGTGTAGACGAGATCGTGGGGACTGTGAAGATAGAAGGACTCTGCACCGGTAGCTGTGGTGTCCTTTTGTTTCGCGGCTGGCTCGCCGATGTACGCGCTCATAGGATTTATGTAGATACCGTCCCGTGGCCTGGACCCAGGAGGGTGCAGGAAGAACGGCTCTTGGAACATGCCGCAGCCTCGTAACGAACACTGTGAAAAAAAGAACGGAACCGAGTCGCCCGTCGACGACCATTATCGCTTGGGCAGCTCGCGAACGGGCTCTTTGGCCGTCTACTGCCGCTGTTTTCGCATACCTCTCGCACGCTTTTCCAATCGATCGTGCCTCGAATAGAAGAATACGATTTTCGAGCGATCGATCGAATTTAAAAGTACGGGATAATTATGAAGGATCTTCTCTTCTATCGGAGGAAGTGCTCGAGAGATGGGACCTATCATAATATAGTGGGGCATGCTACAACGAACGGTTTTTAGTGTGTATCGAAACTTGTCGAAGTATAAGATTATTTGGCTGGTAAATCGGGGAGGTCCTTGGAGCGATTCCCGATCACCGAAATTATGTTTTTTTATTACTTTGCTAACGCGAGTTCGATAACTTTGTCTTGTATTCATAGTGTATCTTGAAGGTTCATAGTTTCAATTGATTGTATTTATAACGTTAAATGTTATAACGAACGAGGTTTTACGAACCAATTATGTAGTTCGTTGTAGCGCATGCCTCATTGTACTCTGTGTATTTGTTATTACTAGCCTTGTCGATGGAATTCGTGGTGCAACTGCAGGTGGTGGCGTCGCTCATGTTCTCCGAATAGTCCGAACCAGAACGATCCCTGGCCATTCTGACGATGACATTGCTACGACACGGTTCGCTCGTCACCTACGGGGAACATGTCGTGGTGTGTCGTGTTCAGTCTTCCTTAAATTCCCTTGCTCTAACTTTATCGTGTCTCGTTTACAGGAACGGTATTTCGAACTTTGAAATTTCGACGGAATATCGAGGGAGAGTATAGAGCGTGTGGATTCTCCTCCGTGGGTTGCTGTGGTCACTTTCTACCCGGAACAAGGAAACAATCAACACGACCACATCGTCGAGGATCAACGCGTCCCGATCGAAGGATCCATGCAAACTTAACGAAAACTATCGCGAACGATCGGCAATATCTGGACGTGCCGTGGTAAAATAATTTCACGTTGGAAAAAATTTACAAGAATAATCATTGGACTGACCCGTTCATCGATCAGGACGCAAAACGATTCCTTTTTTCGGATCAGAGGCACGAAACCTCGATGTTCTTTTCCCCACATTGGTGGAACGCGCTCGTTGCACGGCGTTGGCGCACGAATACCGATCTGCTGGCCGAACAAACGGGTGAAGGACGATGAATATTTCCGTAACGGACTCCGGCAGGAAAAACGAACGGGGCGCCGTTTCAACCACGCGGTTTCCGCGTTTATTCCCGCGTCAAAGACACCGTGGAGAACCGATCGAAGAAAACGAACCGATCGATGTTTCGAGAATGGTTTCATGGATTCGATCCATATGGTGAAGTCCTAAGGACGTAGCCAGCCTCGTGCCTCCGAGCCGTGATATCGAGCGGCTTCTCACGACTCATAACGCGATCGAGTGGAATTGGAACGGAAAACGTTCCGTCGAACTCTCTGGTTCCGAGTGGAACGATTACCAAACGAGGGGAATGTATCTAATCATTCGTTGTGTGTGTTCACCGGTTGTTCCGAATAATCGTTAGGCCTTTCACCGAAATCACCGAGATGAACATGCGCTGTCGAACGATTTAGGGCCGTTTAGACGAATTGTCTTACGTCGACGATCGCGTGTGCACATACAATCACTCACAAGTTTGTTTATAAAAGGCTTTCACTTCTATTTGACCAAATTATTTACCAAAATGCGAATATTATTTCAATATTCAGAATAATTCATCGCAAAGGATATGATAAAAGTAATGATAAGGAGAATGTATAAACAGAAATTGCATACAAGTTTTGACACCTAATTGTTAGTTCAGAAGTCTGTGAACGAATGTGTGAGTCACTGTATATTGATGTGCACAGAAAAGTCGGAATCGAATCGGAATCTAACATAATGTAAAGCGCCCTCTAATTCAGCGATCTGGGTCCTAATTATTAGGAACTTATCCTAATGCTCTTAACTTCACCAAGTTTAAACCAGAGTTGGGCACGATTTTATTCGAATAACGCACGGTGAAAAGCACCAGTATCTAACAGCGTTATCCTGACCTTTAAACATTTAAGACATCAAAATAATTATTTGCCAAGTGTCTACACATTCAAGAAGAATGTACTATTTCACTATAAAAATTGAAATTTCCACGGTTTAATCGATGAAAAATATTGAAGTAGTATTCTTCTCTTTTATTCGTTATTCAAAGCTCTTTATCCAGATAATGGATTTGCCCATCTCTGGTTCAAACACGCGGCGTGTGTTCTCATTCCTGGACGTGTGTACGGTGACGGGAAAACGGCGCGCGCCGCAATATCCCAACGATGTGTACCGTTACCTGTTCCACGGATGACGACGATCGCCGGACCGGTCCAGGGGATCGCGGACGAGCGTCTCTGTTCTGGTTCACTTACGTGTACATCCATGCAAAACCGGGACGCTGGTGCACGATCGTACCGCGAACAAGAGCCGTCGTCCCGTTGCGATTCCAATCATTCGAAAACAAGGGGATAGAACACCGAACAGAAACGAACAAAAAAAAAAGAAACAATCAATTCGTTATCTTTACCGAAGCGTCGAATTGATAGTTCGAACAGTTTCCCCGAATTCCACGCTTGGAGAACCGTGGGTTCGATGTCCCCCACCCTCCGAGAGATCACCGTCGATCAAGGACAAAGCACACACTCTCGAACCCGCGACCACAAGATCGTGTATACGCGCGACACCCGCGGAGGGAAGCGTCTATCAGCGAGTAAGTCGAGTCAACGGACCATCGATTTATACTCGTCGAGCTTTCATACTGCGCCCCCAAGACCTGGACCACTATATCTCGATATATATCGTTTAAAAAAAATGGTTTTTCGTAGGCCGAAAAATTGAAATAGAAAAAGATACCGGTCCCGTACACTGAACTCGATCCGTGCTCGGTAAGCGGCGGACCGAGACTCTCGTTGATTCGGGCCTCGGCTGGTCTAACGCGAGAGAGCCAGCCGGCCAACTGGTCGCGGGTATGCCCCGTGGAAACAGGTAGGGGGGTAACCGTGCTTCGTCAGCTACCTAGTTACCACCGATCTTTTGAATCCGTGCGCACCGTTTCCATACACCGTGTTCCATAATGCCGCCTCTTTGCTCCGCGTTCGCGCTACACCGTTCACCCTACATCGTGTACACCTTCTCCTTTCTCTCTTATACTTCGCGACTTTTCGCATTTCTCCTCTAACGCGTCCGAGCGATCGTCTCGCCGGAACGCGCGCTCTAGACTCGATTCCGCTGAGCATTCGTGTCGAGCCTGAAAACCGGAATATCACTGCGAACACGCACAGCCAGTCGTATAGGCAACGAATGGAAAACTTTCGTGATCGCTCGTCACGCGTGGATACGTCTCGAAGGATGACAAGCTTTGCGAGTTTTTCCGAGGGAGCACGTCAGAGAGAATATCGCAGCGTTGACAAGGCAATCGTGGTAACGCGAAGAATGATTTACCGAGTGGAGGCGCGAGCGAAGACGAAATTATCTGTACTCGATTGGCGGTTGTGCGCTAACACGCGCAGTAGTGTATGTACATCCGCGGATATCCGTTAGTTCTGTCGCGAGGTAGGGTGCAGGAGGAAGGTTCACTCCGTCGTCGGAGAAAGATCGTTTCTCCCGGCGGAACACCTCGGTAACTGTAAAGTACCCCCACCATTTTTCTATTTTTCTTTCTTCCCATCTTCCTCCGTGCTTTATTCGGCGCGGTTCACGACCACGTCAAGAGACGCTGACGATTTTCGTAACGTCAATTACGTGCAATTAGCTGTTAGCGATGCAACCACGATCCGTGCGCCTCTTTCGCTGAAGATTCGAGTTACTCGAGGCTTCGGTGAACTAACCGTTCGAATCGCGGTTGGGACACCGTGAACCGATGATCACGAGCGGAGATTCAATGATCCTAATTTTCGTTGAGCTGCCGCGATCATCGAATCTTCATTGTGATCGTTCGTTCATGATGTGTCCCAACCACGATCAAAACGGTCCATTCGCAACGATGTCTTCCCGTTTAGGGGACGAGGGGAAAAACCAAAGCGTCGTATTTACGAAGACGAGAGCGGACTCGCGATTAAAACAAGCCGCCTTCCCTCTCTTTTTCTCTCTTTAATTTATTCCAATCAACTTGCCTCCCGATCCTGGGACCACTCCCAGCTAGCGAGCGAAAACTTTCCCTTCTTATCGCGTGCATATATATATATTATTCGTCGTTCCGGAAACGTTTCGCGAAATTTTCCGATCGGTTCGTTCCAAGGTTACACACGACAAATGGATCGGTCGATCTTCGTGTGGTCGACAAACCGCGCTCGAGAGAAACAGATTCCCCTTCGTAAACAGGTTAGACAATCCGACACGCGGTATATCAAATACAATATACATACAGAACGATGCGTCCAGTTGCTTTTGTTAGCTGCCTGGAAAACTTCACAAGTTCCTCGCATTCTCTGCGCGTGAGAGCGTTGGAGTGCGTCAGCCACCTTTCTTTGCCTAGGGGTTTACTTTTATGCGTTCAGACCAATATCAGTCGTGCAAAAGAAAGAAGTAAGACGATGCAAGCGTTAGGTTAGAATTAGTTTAACAGTACAAAAGACTGCGAACTCGAGGTCGAAAGATAAAAGAGCGTACTATCGTAAAATTATCCAATCAAAGCTATTCAATTCGGTGAATAGCAGCGAAGATGATAGTCTTATTTGTCGAAGAATACTAGCATTCTAATGTCGACAATTCTATTGTCCAGACACTTATGGACGGTATACGCAGTTCAGTAATTGATCGAAGCAATACATCTGTAAGACCCTGGGGTGGTTCGGAACTCCCGTTGTTCCAGTATGTATACACAGCGTGGTACCACGCGATTTCTCTTTCTCTTCTACGCACCTGTTGCTTTTCTTCGTCGGGAACCGGATTACCCGTTGCGTATACGTGGTCCACGTGTCACTGTTGCGCGTGAAAGGAACAAACGGGAAAGCAACGGATGCAAACAAACCAATAGGGACGATTCAGTAGAGAGGGTTACAATCATTATTTTTTTCTCAGAAGCAATTCAACTCTTTCCATAAACCGCCAATAAACTTTGGTTTAAAAACATCGAACTTCGGTCGCGACAACGATGACGATTTCGCGAACGAATGCAAAAAAAATCCTGCATCAAGGAAAACATCGAGGGGCTCGCCTCGAGAATTAATCGCGAATATCCATAAGTTTTACGTAGATCACGGTATGATAATCTGCCTGTGAATGATACACATATATATATATATATTACACACAGACGGGTGTGTCGCGCGGCGGAACCTTTTAACGAGCCCTGCCTTCGAATGCACGGCCACGGGATTGGTCGATACCAACGGCGAGCCGCGTAAACATGTTTTTCTTTTGCATAATGACAATCTCGTTACCGATACTACGTATCGTCTAAGTTCGAACGGCGCCGATCGCGTATAAAAGAGCGAGAATCTGTGGAAAAGAAACGTGTGTTTTTCGCGATCGTTGAACATCGGCAGCGCGATGAAGGACGAGCTTAAGGTAGGAGGCACACGAAATTGCTTATCGTTAACATTTCAATTCTCCTCCACCTGTTGATCGTAGTATCTGACGGGGTTCGGTTGCGAATTCTCGAGCGAGGACGAACGTTGCCCAGGCGCATTGCCTGTCGGTCAGAACAGTCCCCAAAAGTGTCCTTACGGTTTGTACGCCGAGCAACTGTCCGGCACAGCGTTCACTGGTGAGTAATATAGCGTTCAATTGGTAGGATACTCTAACACCGTTTATTCTTTCGGTTCTCTGTATGTAAATGTATTGTCGTAACATTTTAATCGTCGTTGTTAAAGTGTGTTGACCAGTCATTTTGACTGGTTTGGTAGTTCTAGTGTTAATTCGAAGTTTTAGTAAAAAGCCCTCGACGTTTCGCAGCTCCGCGAAGTCGAAACAAACGTTCATGGTTCTATCGAATCAGACCGTCCGTGGTGCACAAACGATTCGTACCGTACAACGATGCTGCTCCTCGTCTTGTCTACTCCTGGGACGCTGGTTTGACGACACCGAATCAGGTATGGAATTTCCCATCGTTGAATTTTTTGTCCGAAACATACGTGATTCGCGATACTTTTAGCTGAGATGGAAATCGTTCGACGTGCCGAGCAGACGTGCCACGGAGGTGGATTTTCTCGACGGTCTGCACACGATTTGCGGGGCGGGTGACTGCCGTACGCGACAAGGGCTCGCGATCCACGTATACCTGTGCAACGCTTCCATGGGCGACAAGGCGTTCTACAACGCTGACGGTGATTTTCTGATAGGTACGTACTCGCGATGTCACTGGCAAAATTTTGAGTAGGAATATCCTTCGTCTTTACACTCCCGTTATTAAGTATGAGAACACTTATCGAATATGCAGCAAATAAATATTGCTAGTATAATAAAAAATAATATTAAACCATTACAATGATATAATATTAAATATCAACTCCCAAAAAGTAACAAAACGATAATAATATCTAAAGATTAAAATCGGAGAGAATTTAGAATTCTACGCTGGAGACTTTATTATGTTGATAATAATAATACATAAATACGACGAAACTTTATTAAAAGCTTTAATCTATTGTATTTCCCAAGTTAAGGGGCGCTATAAATTCATGAACATCCACAGTCTAGTTATCAGACATTACGAAATTGCTGAAAGTATGAAATGAATGTTGTTGAGGGGATATTGGTTTTACGAAACATTACATTTTTATCGTACAGACGGTACAGACCAAGTGTTTATATAATTATGAGTGGTAGTGTACGTGCATATACAGTACTATTGTTTCTTTGTGACTCGCAGTGCCGCAGCTGGGCGCGTTACTGATCACCACGGAGTTCGGCAAGATCCGTTGCGAACCAAACGAGATATGCGTGATTCAACAAGGTATGCGATTCAACGTGACGGTTTACGGGCCGTCCCGCGGATACATTCTGGAGGTGTTCGACGATCACTTTCAGCTTCCGGAACTGGGACCCATAGGTAAACACGCGATCGTTTGAAGCCAGGGCTTGAAAATGGTTCCATAAATAATTGTTTCAAATGGATAGTTTGAATATAATTGGTTAACTATTTAGTCAGAGTTAAACAGAAATTGTGAATCTGTAATTCACAGGTGCGAACGGCCTGGCGAATCCGCGGGACTTTCAAACGCCTGTCGCTCGATACGAGGACCGTGAAACCAATTACAAAATCGTGAGTAAATTCCACGGGAAGCTGTTCATCGCCGAGCAATCGCACAGCTCCTTCGACGTGGTCGCCTGGCACGGGAATTACGTCCCCTTTAAATACCATCTGGACCGATTCATGGTCGTTAATTCGGTCTCGTTCGATCACTGCGTACGTACTTGCACGGATTAATTGCCCAGGTATTAATTAGGACAGGTTCGAACAAAAAAACACGACTACGTCGATCTTCCTTGCAGGATCCGTCGATTTTCACGGTTCTAACGTGTCCCTCGAGAAAGCCCGGGACAGCGGCCGCCGATTTCGTGATATTCCCGCCCCGATGGTCCGTGCAGGAGCATACTTTCCGTCCGCCATATTATCACCGTAAGTAGAAAGCAACGTGCATAATTATAACCTGTAACGTATAAGTATAAACAAGCTTCTGCTCTAGCGCAAAACCGAACAGAAGGAACGCGAATCGACGAACAAACGAACGGCTCGACGGAGAGAAATCTTCGAGAGTGGAATCACACGCGAAACGATGATATCTATCATCGAAATTAAGATAGAGCAACGCGTTTCACCTTCTTCCTTTTCGCTTTCCAGCTGCAGACGTAAATAAACAACCAGTCGTGAACCAACTGTCCCTCCCCGTTCACCATTCTTTGCTCTTCACGGTGATTCCGTTGTCGCGTCGTATTTGATGCATCCGATCGGGGTCTCTCCCCCCCTCTGCCTCGGTTTCGCTATGCTAGACCGGTTCGCAAAATCGTACGGTCGCGAGATATCGGTGAAAACTTGAAATTTTCACCGATTATATCCTCGGGACGACTTCCTTTTTCTTTCGCGGCAATAATTTTCCCGTTTTCTTTAGCTAACCTACAATTCCACCTTTCATTTCCTCCCCGTCGTCATCGTCGTCCTCGTCGCCCACCCTGCTAACCTCTTCTCTTTCTTTTCTTGTTGTTTCTCGTAAAAATTCTAACCCCGTGCGGTTAATGGTAAATTACGTCCACCTTCAGGGAACTGTATGAGCGAGTTTATGGGCCTCGTGAACGGACGTTACGAAGCAAAAGAGGAAAGTTTTCATCCGGGCGGAGCGTCGTTGCATTCCATTATGACGCCTCATGGACCGGATACGCGTTGTTTCGAAACCGCCGCCAACAACGAGCTGAGACCCGAGCGTGTCGCCGATGGGACCCAGGCATTCATGTTCGAGACATGTTACAGTATGACGGTCACCGAATGGGCCCTAACGGTCTGCAATAAACTCGACGACAATTATAACGATTGCTGGCAAGGTCTACGGAAACATTTCGATCCGAACGCTAAGCCCGGAACGTCTGAGCATTGACAAATGAATTCGGTTCAATTGCCAAGTAACACTTATCGCGAGTCTTTGTTTAGTCTTATACACACGCTTTATCGTGTTTATACCGTTCCGTTATTGTTTCGCAACGAACAATAAAGATACGAACGAAAGATGCCGTTTGGGACCTATGCAGTGGGTAAAAAAAGTAAGTATTCGCAACACCCTTTGGAAAAGAACAACTTTTTTAAAACTGGACCAAGTGTCTTGAGTTTTTTTTTTCTGAAGTTAGAAAGATTAGCTTGCTAAATGACGTGGAAACAAATTTTGAAACAGTTGCAATTGGTCGGAATCGCGAAGAAAACAGTAAAGGTCGTTTCTTACAACTTTTTTATCTGAGTGTAATGAAAATTTTATTTTATTTAATTTTTGTGTGTGTCTGTGTGTGTGTGTTCATCATCAAGAAGAAAGAAACGACTGATAGTGTAATGGAGAGAAAGTTCTCCGTGTTTTACTAAACCAATTCAGGCGTTTCAATACTTTTGACCGGTACTTGTTAAATATCGTGGAGGGTCGGTTTGTGATATATCGAAGAATACGAAAGAAACCGCCCGTACCGCGATCGAATATTTATCGAATAATTGTCTGAAATTCATATACCCACGTTCACGATTCACATAATATTATTATTCATAGTTAACAAATTGTCGACGAAATTAATATCAATTTCTTTCGTAGGGAACCCATAGCAGAGTTCAAAAAATGATCGATAATGCCATCTATGAAAAAACGTCCAAGCTACTAGCCAATTAGTATAACTATTCTGCGCGAGATGTCAGAATTCGTCTTTGTCTATTCTCGTGGTAATTCGCCACACTGAAAACAGTAGTCGTGACATCTACCGATCGAAAACTTTTATTAATTGGTTTATAGCTTGGGTGTTTCGACGTTGATGACGCCACAAGTAGTTTTGACCTAATCGATGATTACGTATGCTAAATACATATTAACTAAACGTACAATATAGACAACTGTTTATGCACAATATCAGTTCAATGGGACTCAGAAACTACTCTGACCTCATTGAAGAAACATGTGCAATCATAATTTGCACGGTTTTTCTGTATTTGCACATTCTATACCCTTGAATATAACGATTCAAGTGAGAGCTCTCTCATTATGACTGGGGACTCTCAAGTTTCATAGTGAGGGAGGGATAAACGCAATTATCTATGCCATATATGCACGATCCTGCACGATCCAGCGATCGAACAATTGCATATTTCTAGGCGTCAATTTTAATTCGTACCCTATAAACACTAACAAGAAGTGATTGTATCGATTTCACTGCCTGAAATGTTAATTCGCTAAAGTGATGATAAAGATAAAACAGGGTTTCTGAGATGAATCGCATTCAGAATAACGACAGCATTATATTAAAAAGAACTACATCTGTCTTTATTATACAAAAAAAAACAATAGTTTGTACAAAAGGGTGTATTATCATGTTGTAAATAGTTCGCAATAAATTGAATGCTCGTAAACGAGCTCCCTCTATACTGAGTAAGCGAACAACGGGAACACGAAACTCATTGTAGTATGAGATTAGTTACGAGTTTCGAACATACTGCGCTCATGTCATACACCTACGATTTTGCTTTTGCTAATCCACGCACTTCGTTCGCAAAAACAATAGCAATTATAAACAACACACATTCCTATACAATTATCCGTACATTATGTACGAATGTATGCAACAATTATATATTATGCGTATCGTTCTTTTTTTTTTTACCTAAGAAAAGAAGTATTGCAATGTGGCACGTCTCGTAAAACTACTTCGTCTTTACGAGAGAATCGGCAATAGAAGAAATTACGATGAAATTCGAGCAACTCAATACGGACATTCGTCTTTGACGAACTGGAATAAGAAGAGCATAGTACTTTCTTAGCTCGAATAGCAACGCAAACACTTCAGTTTCCCTTGAACAGTCCATGCAATGCGTTTCGATCCCATCACCACCACCGTTTGTACTTGTATTTTTCAATTAGACGATCGACTTATGAAGATCGTTCCATTCGAAACTTAGAGATTCTCAATTAAAACTACCCCGTGTAATAAAAAAAAAAAAAAAAAAATTGAGCTGCCAGCACTTCTTCTTGCTGTATTTTCCTGCGATAGTTGTCCAACGTAGTTTGTATAGTCTTCTCAGAGTATCGGCAGTTTTCGGCTCCACAGGTACACGTGAACGACTTGCATTTTATTATCCAGAATTTTTCTCCGTAATCGAAGCTAAGGGTAAACAATGTCATATTGGTCTTTGACGATAAATTGCATTAAAGTAATGATGATCGGAACTCTCGAAACAAAGTGTGCTAATGTACTCTTCTCCGTGGACAATAAAGCCCAAACGTACCGATGTAGAAAAATCAAAAACAGGAGCTTAAGAAATTTTAACTAACAGCCAAAACGATCAACTCATCGAAATTCAGTATTAGTTCATTTTAATAACCAGAATAATCAACTTGCGTCACTGATTACGGACGTATACATTAGTAGCGGTTTCCATGTGTCAATTGGTTTCTTTCTTTAACGTACCCGAGCTCTTCGTCCGCTTCGATGTCACGGTTCGCAAAAAATGCTATCCTGGGAAAGTGTAAATCCTGATGCTCCACGAATACTCGCACTGGCAAGAGATTAGGCGCGCAAGAATGATTTATAAAACGAGCAATATTCCCGTAACGTCTCGCATCGATGCAATAGGTTTCGCCATCCTGTGTGCATGCAAAATGGGAAACATGAAACGATTTTCATTTCCTATTGTACACGATTCTGCTGAATGCTTACCCGATTATCTAAATCAAATAGATATGAGTCATCTTCTCTGTGATCAGCCTCAGAATCGGATATAATTTCGCCAACATATTCACACACATAGGAACCTTTAGGAATGTGTCGCAACGTTCTAAGACCCCAACCTTTACCCTTCGTTCTAAATAATTGGAATCTTTGTGTCAAACCGTGTTGAACAACGCGATTATTGCACGTTATACGATTACAGTCGCAAGCCGGATTGCACTCGAATAACATCGGAGGATCTACATCAAATATATTAATATATATTTGACCGTATCCTGAATGAATAGTCTCAAGGTATATATTTAACGTACCAGCGTAATTAAATTCAGGTATCAGCTTTCCTTCTTCGTCGTACCAGCACCTTAAGCTTATATTTCCGCACAAGCACTTTTCGGAACTGCAATTGTCTTCGCAACGACAAGACTGCAAAGATGTTATGGTGCGGTCAACATTTATGTTACTAGTAAAACAGTTCTCGGTCACGTACAAAAAGTCTGTCGGCTTATCTTCCGAATCGTATCCGTTCACGCACTGAATCGGATTTGTCTCTTTGCCGCGCGATATGTCACTGTAAATATAGACGATCAAAAGTGAAACTTATGAATGCACGATCAGAAGTGAATACACCATTAATCATGATAATCACTTAGTTAAAATTTTTACTGTTTTTTCCCACATATGCTCGGACAGTTCATTCACTTTAGCGTTCAATCTCAAAGCGGACATAGTATCCCCATCGTTTGTACAACAGTTTACTGCTGTTTCCCCTGCGGCATTGACCTCACCTATCTTAGCACCGCGTGCTAATAGGAGAACACTTACCGCGTACTGATCTTGTCTTGCAGCTATGTGTCTATCGTATAAAGCATAATGAAGTTAATAATTTTACATATATCACCATAAATCGTAGTGTTATATCGAAACTTACAAAGGCGTATCACCATGAACATTCACAGCGTTTACGTCACACCCTTCGTTAAGCAGCATTTCCGTGATTTCTGAACTTCCGCTAAATGCACTCCAGTGCAACGCTATGTTCTGCTCTGCATCGCGTATCAACGGATCGCATTTCTTATCTAACAAGAATCTCGCAACATCGGCGTGACAAAACTCACACGCCCAAATTAAACTCGTCCACCCACCATCATCCACCGAGTCTAGCAGATTATCGACAATTATTTTTACAGACAACATTCAACCTAATTTCACGGGCTGCGCCAGTAACATGATAAACTGTTCATTACCTACTAGTGTTCGTGGCGCCTTACACTCTGTCAAAATTATTCGACACACTTCTAAGTGTCCGGATTTGGCGGCCATGTGTAAAGCGGTCATACCATCTTCTCCTTTCAATGTAACATCAGCGCCTATCCTTATTAAGTATTTCACTACGTCAGCTTTACCCTTGCTGGCAGCTAACATTAAAGGTGTCAACTGATTTCTATCCATCACGTCTAATTGAGCACCAGCTTGTACTAACACGTGTACGCAAGACAGGTGACCCTTATCCGCGGCTATGTGGAGTCCAGTTCGATGAGCATAATCTCGGAATGTGTGGTTCGCATTGTAACCGCATGCTGCAAACAAAAATAAAGTTACTTATTATTACGGCTATATGATAAACTGACAAGCAAACTGAAACAGGAATGGTACTATACCTAAAACATTCACCAACTTCTCTAAATCCCCATTTTTCACGGATGTGTACAGGCTCATGATAGTGTAACGTTCTGGTCTCTCAGAATTGAGAGATGGCTCAGGAATTTTAATAACGTCGGGTGGAATCAGAGGACTAGGAGGACGCTCTGCCAACTTTGTATTGTCACCCTTTCCCGGCATAGTTATTTTTGCAGAAGGTAGTTTTGAGAATTTTTTACGGGTCGGAATGAACACAGGTTTTCGAAAACCACCCATAGTGACCATTACGTCGTACGCAGTACTTTCGTTTCCACAATGTGGACATACCCCTTTTTTATTCGGATAAACTTCACATTCCCGGTGATATTGGTGACCATTGATACATTGCACAAACCGTCCTTGTGAACAGAACAGTCCACAAGAAGGACAGCAATTATGCCGTAGAAGTCTTTCTTTGTGCATTCGACAGAGGATTATGAAAGGAACACGAGTGCTGGGTCTTCTCATTGCAACGTCATTGCTATCAACCTCATTACAGCATCCTACCAATCTGTTGTCAATAGAATCGATTGCGGTGCAATACAATGGTGCTCCAGAGCCAGTTATTGTTACATATAGTTGGGATCTTACTTGACATAAACATAACATTGATTGACCATATGGCTGAAATATACAGTATAGAATGAGCACAATCGAAATTTTGTGTCTATAACAAACATATGTACAAATATACTAACTTCACTCATAATTGCTGTTGACTCTGGTTTTGAAGCTTGTCCTTCAGCAGGCCTAGGACTTGGAGCCATACTTCTGCGTGTCCTTTTAGCAGGTACAGTGCCTTCTATAAAGTGTATATACATTGGAATAATTGTTAGATTTAATAAGCATTCATATCACATAAAATATGAAATTTACCTTCAGGATAGTCATTGTTTTTGCCTGTTTCAGCTACGGATGCAGAGCCATCTAAAACAATATTTCTGTATACCCCAGTGTATTTCATAAAAGTGCAAATCTTAAATTTATATTGACAATTGTACCTTCAAATGAGTCTGCCTTTGCTATTTTTCTTGCACCTTGACTTCCTCTAGGTCGTCCCCTTTCTCGCTTAGGTCTGCTACCAGTAGCAGGCTTTAAAAATGGTTTCTCAATGTCTGCTAGAGGTATTTCATCGCTTATGGGGCTGCCAATTGAATTACTCAATTTTGTTTGAGATTCTGAGCTTTTTATCATAGGAGATAATTTTGGCATACCATCAAAATCGGATGAAAAACTCTGAGATTCATCCAGGAGCATCTCATTTATACTACTTTCTGACATGGCCGAGTTTCTAGAACATTCTAATGATGAGTTTACCTCTGTGATAATAAGGTTACCATCAATAATGGTGGTCTCTACTTCCTGACGTATGTCGGGAGGTTTGGCTTGGAACTGTTTATTTTGATCTTTTCCTTGAACTACTTTCTTAGGCCTCCCTGGTTTATTATATTTCCTTTGTTTTTTAAACTGTAAATTTTCTTCTGTGTAGTTTGACTTTTCTTTTCTTGCCATTGCACTTTCTAACACAGTGCTTTTCAATGATTCTTTGCATAGTCTTCTTGCTGAACGTTTAGGACCTGGAGATTCTTCTGTGTGGTTGCTAAAAATTTCATGGAATGTTTACAAAGATCACATACAATACTTTACATATTTGAGATGAAAGAAAATAAAAAACCTAAGTGCTCTTAATCTAGGTCGTCCTGTTCTTCTTTTCCTAGTAATGGGGACAGCATTGTCTGTTTGATCACTCTGTTCTGTAGGTTCTACCGAAGTGTCCGCTTTGTCAGTCTTTATCTTTTCATCGGAGACTGTGTCTTTTTCTTCTGTTGTCTGTGGATCATCCTTTGTTGTTTTTATGTCCTCCTTCTTTCCCTCTACTTCATTGCTTTCAGATTCCTTGTTAGCTTCTTCCATTCTGCCTTCTTCTGAATCTGATTTCTCAACGACATCAGAATTCTCATCAGAGTTCTCAATCTTCACAGAAACACCGCCAATTTGATCACAATTTACCAATTCATCGGGAACCAAAGTAAGGTTGGAGGAACAGCTTGATATCTTCGTTTTTTTACCATGATCGGTGTTCTCATCGATCGTCCTAAATGTAAGGACAATACGCGGAATCCCATTGCTATCCTTCTTCAGAATTTCCTGTTTTCCAATAACCTCGTCCTCTTTATGATTTTCATTCGTCACTGTTGAAACCGTAGCAATACTCTGTTTTATCGGGACAATTTCCTCGACCTCGTCCCCAGTGGGTTTTTTTTCGATCGGTGGAATTTCATCGGGTTTCGATACCGGTTTCTCAACCTCCTCGTTATCCGATTTTTCCGTTCGATTAATTTCTACGTTTTTGGCGGGACTCACGCTTTTGTTAAATTCATTCGTCATTCCCTCGAGGATCTTTTGGATACTGACCTTATCTTCGACCCTCTCGACAGCCATCATACCTTCCTCTTCGCCCCCTTCTTGACAACCCTCCATCGTGGCAGCTTCTTTAGACTCAGTCTCCGACATAGTAATACCGTACTTTTAATTAGAAACTAAGAACCTTTACGCTTAAAAAGAGAGGTCATCGTAAAGTGAAGGCAGCCGTTAAGTTGACAGCCAAACACCGAACAACTACCGAACCGTAATCCAACGTCGACGATGTCTTCCGCGTATTGCCAGTAGTTGAAACGGTAATGAAACACTCCTTCAGAATTTCTTTCTGACTGAATACTGTTACCGATACTCGAACGAAGACCGTGAAAATAATCCTCCGTGCACTTTCCAACAGCTTGACTAATTATGTTATCACAGAAACTATTTATTTCGAAGATTTTCAGGGAAATAACTACGCTACGCTGGCGTGCCCCGCGTAGACCTGGAGGCCATATTGATTGCTCAGGGACGGCCGATTCGAGCGATGAATTTATTTTTAAAATGATGATCGACAGAGCCCTTTTAGTATAAAATTATATACCCTCTTTGAGCTTTGAAATGTTACATGATATCTTCGTTGTATCGTATTATTTATGAAAAACAGCTCTGTATCTAACTTATGCAAAGAACAAATAATATGCATATCTCTGCATAATACACGTTTGTGAGCTTGTTCACCTATACATACATCGAAAGAAAAAGAGATAATGAATTCTTCTGTAATTCATTACTTCTTTCCGGTTCGATCGTTTCGTCTTACATATTGTCTTTTTACTTTAAAAATATACTAATTTTCATTTCGATCGAAACTAATCATCATTCATTGCAATTGGTAACCAAAAAATTATATATCATTAATCTATTTAGGCGATATTAATAAAATTACAATTATGTAATTTACGAAGTATAAAATCATTTCTCGCGTTCTCATTTACGCTGTCTCGCATACCAAGTATGTACAAGCAAATGAGATGCAGCATTATTTTATTGTTAAATACGAATTTAGTGTCGTGTCCATGTAAAATAATGTACATATATACATATGTAGCTAATCTTCGGAACAGACTCGGCATTGGTAATATCATCTATTTACATAGTTATTACTTTGCTGGGAGGCATTTAATAAATGGAATTGTTGCTACTGAAACGGGACCATGTTTCAATGTAACAATGGCAGCGCGCATGAGCGTTCGGGAAAAAGAAAAAATTGCTTAGGATTACGTGGCAATGTATGATAAAAATACATTGTAACTAATAAGTGGTAGCAGCGTTCGCATCAGATAGATAGTCATAGAGATACCGTTAGATTATCTTCGATCTACTTCAAGATCAGCCGGGACAGGATAAGAGGGGAAAAAGAAAAGTAGAACAGGAAGCGGGTCATATAAATATAAGTTTATTTACATTGCAACAGGTCCTTTTGTCAAATAAGCGACAAAGGTGATTACGAGTGTAGACTGAACAAAGTTAATGAATAAATGTTAATTAAAAATAATAATTACAACATTCTAGCCCAAACACGCCTCTTAATTAAATAATATACATTTGTTGAAATTCATAGAATCTAGGAGACGTGAATATTGTGCTTTTCTTATGAAGACGTCGTTAATAGTTTTTACGATTTGGTTTCCGTTCGATCAACTCCTGACTGCGATCACTGTATGCGTTTGGTATTATTACAAACGATAATTAAATGTGAAAAATGTCGCCGTTGCTAAGTCGAGTTGCAGAGATACTGCAAGGCCGCCCGAGAAAGGGATTTCGTTCGCGAGATTTGTTCGAAATACTTTCTCGCTTATGTGTGTCCCTCGATAAAAAAAGAAGCGTAAACGAAGAGTGATAGGAACGGTTTACGCGTTCAGTACGATGCCGCATCTCCTATTAACGATTTTCTTCTTTACCTTTTTTTGTTCTTTTCTTTCCGTTTTCTTTTTTCCTTTTTTTTTTTTTAGAAAAACGTCGAACATACTACATTTATTTATATCTTTACAAGCAATATAAAAAGTTGAGCATCGTATTGCATCGGTGATTGCATCCTATATAAATACACGTCGACAAGAGAATTATTGACAAAGTAGTTCAACGCGTTACGTTTACAGCCACGAAGGAAAGTCGTGCGAAGAATAATTTCAATGACCGTCCTCTCTCCGATCTAGGAGTCTAACCTTCTCGTTTTCTTTCTCGCGAACACTTCGTTAATAATATCGTACGCGGTACGTATCCGAGTCTATTTCTTTAAAATACGTACACATTGTACAGTTCACGGTGTCACCGAGTATTACAAACAACTATTTTTTGGTTTAGAATCGTTTTCAAGTACATTGTGCACAGACCACCGTGTGTGGGTGCACGATCATCGTTGATTACGACACCATTCTACGTGGTACATATGATGAATTCAGTTAATTTTAACGCATATGGCACCAACAAGGAATATGATTTAATCGTAACGGTGGGTTATGGTGGCGGAGGTCTTCTCTGAGGTTCGGGGGTGTAACGCAGACGAGCTCGTACATGCTGAGGACTACCAGGCACGGAATTACTCTCCGATAATCTCCTTGGAGGAGGTTGAGGCGGTGAAGATGAAATATATCTTGATGGAAATGAATGAAAAATTAGAGATCAATGTTACCCTGCGAGAGCACTTCAAATAAATCGAGGGAGTAGTAGTAGTAGTACCTTCGTGCAAAAGAAGGAGACGCCTGATCAACTAAATTTCTTCTAAGAGCAAGCGGAGATTCACCGCGACTAAATCTTGGCGGTGGTTCCGGCGAAGGTGCACGTTCACTGCCGAGCCTTAGACGAACGTAAGATGCAAAACGTTTCTTAGCGGATTCCTTTGATCCTCCCTGAGTTGGTGGCATAATGGAAGGAGAATCTTGCTTCATCTGGTGTGCGAAACGGGAAATTAATAATTCGGGACTGGTAGAACCATGAGATCCTTGCGGAGGTGGCTCAGAAGGAAACCTGTATCAAAAGAAATTAAAATTACCACGGTTCAATAAGATTTTATACATGTACATATACATTTGCGTTATTAGTCACCTTTTACGACTAATCATGGGGCTACCATAAATATCTTGCGACTGCGGATGAGTCTGAGGCACAGGTGGAATTTGTCCTAGTCGTTGTTGTAGAAATGGCGAGTATCGACCACTTTCTGTCGGTTGTACTACGTTCGGAGGATCGACGTTTTCTCGCCTCCAGGGTGAATAGTCACGAGTAAATGGACTCAATGATCTGGGAGCACCTTGCAATCGTTCTTTGCTAGTGTCCCGATCTTCCGTGAAGCGTCCATGGTACGGTGAATAGAGTCTGTTGCTTGCATCTATCGAATTAACATCCTGTCTATAAGGAGAGAACGGTCTTGCTTCTTGTCTACCTTGTCCATTGGTAGGATAGTGATTCGTGCTATAGTCTCTGTTTTGTTCGACATGTCTATACGGTGAATACGATCGTTGACAATTCGTTTCCGATGTGTCGACATCACTGGACGAAGGAGGAGAAAACGGCCTGGAAATTTCCTTTCGTCTAAGCGCGTATGGACTATAAGATACATAGTTCGCACCATTCTCACTATTTGATCGTTGATGAAATGGCAGAAAACCGGAGTTCTGTGAGTCTTTGGTGACATTGCTTCGTAAGAAAGCTGGTACTTCAGATTGAGCCCTGAGATGAGCTGTTTGCTTTAGAGATACATGACCCGTAACTCGCTGCTGCCAGCCTGGCAATCTGAAACTGAATTGCCCACTATTAAACTACAGTTTGATTATCAACTGTACTATCAATTGTATATGTTATCGACTCCCGGAAAGTGGCCTGATTTATTTTTAAATGCCACTGTCACCAATGACAATTGTACATGATGTTTCTGTAAGAAAAAAACTTGAGTCTGTAGAGAGTTAATAGAAGTTAGAGCGTTAATCATAGTATCATGCAACACAGACGAGGACAGAGGAATTTTCTTCAAAGGTATAAAAACATAGAAACTATCTGTGTTTGAAACTAGAAAAGTCAAAAAATAATACATGCTAAAAACACTACTATAATGAACCATCAACGTGTTTCAATGCTTAAAACAAGGATAAGAACTCAAAATATAAATGAACTATTATCATCTTGATGAATGGAGTGTGCACAGGGAAAAATTATGTGTGCCACATAACCGGCAAGTCGCTACATAATAAAAAAAAAACAAATAAACGAGTATTCAAATAAATAAAAACAATGCTTACCATGAGTGGGGGTTGAAAGGTGGGGTGTGTAACAGGCGCGTGCACAAACCAAACAACTCGAAATGAAAATCGGGCAGATTTTTGGATATTTGTGAGGTTTATTTTTTTTAAGTTTTTTGGAATTTTTGGGCAAGTTTTTAGGGAAAATGGAGAGTGGGGCAGGGGCGAGGGAGAGGGGATGCTATGCTGCGCTGCCTCCCTCAAGCTCAACGCTGCAACACAATTCAACACGCACGCAAACCTTTAATCGAAATGTATGGACAGGTTTGTAAATGTCATTTGGTAATGAATAAAAGATAAATACGTAAAAACTAGTGTCCAACGAAAACCAAACTTCAAAAACTCAGCACAATTTTTCGAGCCGCTTTAATACCTACCCATTAACCAGGAATATCGAAGTGTGTTAAAATCATTGTAAAACTAATATAAGAGACAATACCCAGTTATTCTCAAACCAAACCAAATCATTATAATATTAGTTGGGAATTTCATGCCATGTTTTAAACTCTATTCACTTCTATGGAATGGTTTTTTCTAACAGCATGTGTCTACCATATTTTGTGATGTTACATATATATACTCTTTCCTATTTAATAGTATCCTATATCTGAAAACTATGGTTTAGTGCTTACAATGAGAATGGTTATTAACAGTTTACCTTGGTTCCAATTGTCGCATAACTCTGCCAAACCATTGGCAACCAGAATTTAAGACTGAGGAGTTTGTTTCTTCGTCTTGAGACACATCATATTTTCGAATGAAAGAATGCTCCATGAGCTTGTGATATTTCGGACGATGTTTATAATTTTTTGTAAGGCAGCAACTCACAAAGCTCCTAAATTCTTTTGAAAAAGGTGCATCTGGTGGAAGGGATGGAGGATCATCTTGTACTACTCTGCTTAGTACCTATGTATCAAAATAATAATATACTAGCCAATTTAAGCGTATGAAGCATTATTGTATGTATATACAATGTTTACCTCGAAGTCAGTCTTACAGTCTCGATAAGGGAATACTCCTGTAGCTAATTCTACTAAAGTAATACCCAAACTCCATACATCTGCCCTAATATCGTAATCTGGTTTTGTTGGATCTGGAGGATCTATTCTTTCAGGCTAAAAAGATATATAGAAAACGCACTGTAAACATTTTAAATTTTCGGTATATTACAAATTATTGTTATGCTCACAGCCATGTATGCAGCACATCCTGCACTTCTAGTTTTTGCTTTACTATCAACTAGTCTGCCAGATATACCAAAATCACATAATTTTACTCCTCCCCTTTCGTCAAGAAGAATATTGCTAGGCTTCACATCTCTATGAATTACACCATGTTTTTCTTTTAGGTATGATAATGCTTTTACTGTCTAGAAAAGTGAAATGTTCGTTTAGTTGTTCTTTCCAATAGAATTGAATGTAAATTTGAAACTCGTAGCATCACTTACTGCTACTGTAACTTTTCCTAAAAATTCTTCTGGCATTGCTTGTCTAGTTCTCTTCAATAATTTGTCCAAACAAGTTGCCATTAATTCCATACAAATCCATACATCAGACTCTGTGATGAAACATCCCAAACATTGCACAATATATGGACAATCATGTGATTTTAATACAACATCAAGATCCATAATTATCCTCTTATTCTCTTCTGCATTACCAGAACGTCGCATTTGTTTTACCGCAATGAGTACACCACTAGGTTTATGCCTCATTTTAACAACATGTCCACAGGTCCCATTTCCTAATTCACCCAGGTGTTCTAAATCTTTCATTTCAGTTTGATACCTTTGTCCATTGATGTTCAAAATACCATTCATTTTCATTATTTCTTGTAGCTTTGATTCAAACTCACTGTCTTGCTTCTTTGGAGGTATTTGTGAGACTTTTAATGTTGGAATTGGAGCTGTATCAAAAAGATCAAATATTAAATTGTAAATAAAAAATAATTCTAGACTAACTGTTACTTGTTATCTTCAAGGAATCTTTTCTTCACTAAGAGATCAGAACATTGTTTTTGTTTATAAGTCTCATTTAAACTGATTCCCGAAGATTTCAAAATTCGATGTATTGGTTATAATAAAAAAAGAAAAACCATTGTGCCTAAACGCTCATTCTTAAGTACTTGGAATGAAATAAACTACGCGTTAAACAAGGGGACCAAAACTGTATGGTATATAGAATCAACAGAATAAATTGTGATGGTCAACATAACCTGTACAACAAGTGGCCAACTCGTAAATATGTTAGAAAACTATTGGAAAAAGGACAAGAAAAAATTAAATTATGTGTATGAACGATATTTAAACGAAACTCACGTCGAGAGGCAGGGCTTGAGACAGTTCCCGTGGATGACGATTGAATGCCCGTTCCTAGTCCAACCTCGCCACTCTGTCTGTCTCTGTCCCTCGATTCATTTTCCGCTCTGAGACGTTCTTGCAAATTTAGAATCTTATTCTCCAGGGTACTGGACATCGCGACGATCTTTTGGATCACTATCAAGTTCACCGCGGAACACCACCTCGCACAAAATATTTGACAATTTTCACATCACTCGTCTGCCCCTTTTGGCAGCGAACATTGCGCCGCCGGTTGTACGCAGTTCAGTAGAACCAACACTCTTTTAATTTCTCAGAAATCACTAGAATGATTTCTGATAAGAGAACTTTTCGTGTGCCTTTCGAGAAAGGTTACTGTAATCACGAACCAATATATTTATTATCCAAATGAGAATGATTTTCGAAAAAAGAATTATTTAATCAGAGTCTATTCTGTTACTCGTCTTTATTTCTTTTTCATTGAAACATGAAGTAAGTATTTATAATACAAAGTACAGTTCTATGCAAAACATAATATATATTGAAATGTACAAATATTTCTTCGCAGACCCGAACAATGGTTTTCATTAATTGAATTAAAAATATCAAAAACATGAAGAATTGAAAAGGTCTGGGTTAGGTCGTCCCAGAAAGAATCGCAACTTTACTTATGAGACATCATATTAGGAGCGACCACATACTTTTAACTTTTCAATGAAATGGCATTCAAAATTTATATACAGTAGACGGTTGACTTATTACAATTTGAAAGTATTTTAGTCTCATCAGATGTGATATTTATTTAAATTTTGAATATGTTAAAACATAGGTAAAATAACTTTTTACATTCAAAGCATTTAGATTGAATTCTAAAATTTGTAATAGACTTATAGAGAAGAAACCGATATGTAAAATTAATATACTAAAGAGTATTATATATTCATGTCCGAATGAATCAACTCTGTAAACCACTGAAGAATAACTGTCCTATAAAAGCAAAACTATTATTGCAAAACAGCTGCATTTGCAGCTATACTTGGATTATTAATAATTTCACCAAGACTCTCCAACAATTCCTTCCTATAGTCGTCGAAATCTCCATCGATTGCATTAATTTGTTGATTTTCAATTACGTACAAACAACATTCTGTGTCTCTGATTAGACGTTCGTCGTGGGAAACGATAATAACTCCGCCTTTATATCCATTGATAGCATCAGCCAGAGCATCAATAGATTCTATGTCTAAATTATTCGTCGGTTCGTCTAGAATTACAACGTCGGGTGCATTCAAACACAATTCCGCCAAAGCGACTCGCGCCTTTTGGCCTCCCGATAAATCTTTCATTTTAATCGTGTGTGCGTGTGAGCTAAGCCCGAATGTTCCTAATTGTTTCCTAGCTTTCTCGTATGGAAGATCAAACAAGCGCATCAAATATTCTGACGGTGTTTCTTCGGCGGTCAGATGTTCGCCAGAGTGTTGGTCAAATTTTCCTATCCTCTGAAAATGTTAGGTTGTATGTCCCTAGTCAATAACTTCAAGAATGTAGATTTACCAACACCATTAGGTCCTACTATAGCTATTCGGGAGTTTAAGTCTATTCCAAAATCAGCATCAATAAATAATGGTTTTTGCCCTTCATATGAAAAGGTCACATCTGAAAAAAGATTTTGTTTTAAAAGTGATTTCCATATAATGCGATGTCATGATATATTAATAACATACTGTGAATTCCTAAAATGGGTGGCTGCAACGGTGGTGGATCTGGAAAACTGAATTTGACTATATACTCTCTGGGCTTCTGTAATAATTCTGCAGGTGAATCGTCTTTTTCTTGCTTTTGCATTTTAGTTCTATTCTTTTCTTGCTTCCTAGTTAAAGCTTCTTTCTGTTTCTTTTCAGCCTGCTTTTTACTCTGACCTGAAGCTTTAAGGTCCTTAAGCCTCTTCTCTTGTTTCTCATATGCTTTTATCATTTCCTTCCTTTTTTGTTCATACATTTTCTTAAACATACTATAATTTCCTTTGTAATAAAACAATTTCTGTTGGTCCAGGTGAATTACATCTGTGCATACATTATCCAAGAAGCTCTGGTCATGAGAAACAATGAGTAATGTTTTCTTCCAAGCTTGTAGGTAATTGTCTAACCAAATAACAGCATTTAAATCTAAATGATTTGTTGGTTCATCAAGCAATAACAGAGTAGGTTCTATGAACAGTGCCCTTGCTAGAGAAACACGCATACGCCAACCACCAGAAAAATTCTTGGTTGCACGATCTTGCATAGCACGATTAAACCCTAAACCAGCAAGAATTCTTCTAGCACGTGGTTCTGCAGAATCTGCACCAATAATTTTTAGTTCCTCATAAACCTGTAAAACGTATTTTATTTTAATGTAATACACATGAATGGAATATAGACATTCCCTGTAACAAACCAAAAGTATTACCTCTTGCAATCTACTTTGAACAGAAGTGTCTCCTTGTTCTACTTGTTCTTCCAATTTTTTACATTCTGCTAATAATTCTTTACATTTTACATCTGCATTTAGCACCACTTCAACAGCAGGGGTATCATCTGCAATAACTTCTTGCTCGCAATACAAAACATCAATGGTTGGAGGAATGGCAAATGCTCTCTTTGCAATGTGACGTAACAAAGTAGTTTTACCATGACTGAAAGACAAATGACAGTTACAAAATCCTACGATACGATGGTTTCGTTAGTAATCTATAAATGCATACCCATTTGGCCCTACCAAACCGTAACGTCTGCCTTGAGCAATCATCAGACTGGCATTGGTAAACAGTTCCTTCCCTTTAGCAGCGATGCTGAAATTTTCCACCTTGATGTCGATAGCATTCTCTAACTGCTGATTATTTCGTTGCTGAGTCTGAGACTGAGAAACGGTGAAATTGGCCTCGAGTTCACTGTGGCCCTGACCACCGGTCTTGGTCAACATTTCCATCGTTTTTTCATATTCCTGCAGATATCTTTTTCGTGACATCTGAAACTATCTTTTCAGTTGACATGCTGGAACGTGCACCTGGTTCATCCGACCTCACTCAACCTCACTTTTCCATACTCTCTCGTGGCCAATGCCAGTGCCTGGCAGCGAGGAAAAGTGGCAAACACGTGGCGCCACCCAACCATAAGTATGTTTCAGTACATTTTATCATATTGCGGTCATCTATCTATATAAAATGCATATGTATCTATCTATCATATATATATGGTTATGATAATCACATAGCGTTCGTGTCATATTGAGAATTAAATAGCTGAAGTACAACAAGTCTGACAAATAAATAGGTTGAAAATACTTCTTAAATCAACGTAAAGAAACTAAAAGATGTCGGAGTTACAAGACGTAGAGAAGAGAATACATTCTGCAAATGCACGATTTGTAGCATACTTGGAAAAACATCGCATATACGAACTGTTCCATGTAAATAACCAATTTATCGTCAATATACTTTCAATGATTTCGCTCTGTGTATTTATACAGTTTATATAAACGATTTACGTAGGACATTGCAACTCAGTTAATGATTCAGAAACCAGACGACCATCTCGTATTCATAAAACAGTATCTTGAGATCGCCGCGAAGAGACTCGACGTTCCTAGGATTATTTTAATTGCACCCCCAACGTTTGGTAAAAGAAACACAAATAAGAAATGAATATACGTAGGTCTTTGGAATGAGTTCAGAATAAAACGAAACATTGCATATGCGCAGATAGAATGGCCCTGGCCAAGGTTCTTCAGGAAGAATTGAACATCTATCCGTTCACCATAAAGGAGCTTCGTAAAGCGTGTGAAAAAGATAACGTAATAGGAAAACAGCCGAATTTTCGTCAATTTTCTTGAAAATAAACTTTTCCCGCTTAGGAAACTTGTCATTGCGCGGAATCGATGGACCTTGCGTTCGCTATGAGAAAGATTCTAGAAACCGGAGCTTTGCACGCATGCGGATGGGTTCTTGTTGGTAAAGATAACGTGTAATAAGCACTTAGGAAACGATCGATGAAATAAAAATCATTTACAAATGATTCACGTCTATTTAACGGTGCAGACTTACCGAGAACAAAAACGGAAGCCCGAGTATTTCAGCGTACTGGAATAATACCGACGCACGTGATTCAGCTGATTGTTTCAAACGATGCCGGTAAGAATGTATGTACAGATGACATAAAGGATTATTACTATTTCGATGGTTAGCCCAAATCTTTTTTGTAGACAACTACGAGAATATTTATATGAATGACACGTGCTATCACGTATGCACACCGATAAACATCAAGAGAAAGATGGATGAACGTCGTTACGAAAAACAATTACGCGGACTGAAGGAAGCGTATGCGAATTTCTTAATCGTTAGTCGGTCTCCGTTAAGAATTTCTAATTAAAAAGGAAACGAAACGATGGTAACACTATTTTTTTGCTTTAAGGAAGTCGACGTCGGGATCAGAACTATCGAAGAGCTTGGAAAGGATTGCGCGAAGTTGGTGAAAATAAAGAAACATTGCGGAGGTCCATCCATTTTTCGTATCGTGCTCATCGGATCCAGAGGATCTGGATGCACCACATTGGCAAAATATTTGGCTGAGCGATTCAATATTGTCCATAGTACTCCGTTTAGTCTCTTATTAACGGTGATCTATGTCGATGGTGATGTTTAAATAGCGATCTTTTTATTTTAGTCGATTACGATTACATCACGGAACAATCGCGTTTGCAGAGGAATTCTCTCGGGGAATTGCTCGGAATATACGAACATGGTTGGGGGGAAAGACCCAAGCCTGAAATTCGGATACAAATTATTCAAGTACGATACAATTAACGGTGATGTTTAAACTCGAGACATACAGCCCAACTTTTGAATTTTTAGAAATACATATCCGGTTACGAGTGTTTGAAAAGGGGATGGGTTTTAACTGGATACCCAAAGCAAGTGGAAGATTTCAAATTGCTGGATCTCAGTCCAACTCCTCCAAACAGGTGCTCAATTGTATTTCTGTCTTCGAAGCAGTCACAGAAATATTGGTTCAATGTTCTCCGAATATTTGCAGAGTGATATTCGTGGAGACAAGTGGCGATGTCTGCAGAAGAAGGTTGCTCAATCGCCGGTACAATCTTGTCACAGGAAGCAAGCATGATTTGTCTATGAAGGATTACACCGATACAGACCACTGTCAACTAGGAATTCATCCGAGAGATTACAGGCTGATTGTCGAGCGAGATGTAATATTTTATTTGTCGAGAGCACAACCATTTCGGATCGTTGTTGATGATTTGTAATAAATAATGTATAAATGACAGTTGCAAGAGCACGAAGAGAATGTGACCGAGATGCTGCAGTACGCTGGCGAATCCGCGGTAAAAATCGATGGAAACGAGGATGAAAAGGTCGTCCGGGAAAAAGTCGAGGCCTGTTTAATGCGTCCGGCCCCGAACCAACAGTCGAGAGTGCCAAGATCTTCGGCTGAGATCGACCCAATGAACGTTGAATTCGATCCCGATGACGAGCCCGATTCCAGCGTGTTCGATAATATACGAGCACTTGAGCCTGTCTATACGTTCCTTTAAGAATGAACGTGTGCGAATATTTAAATGCACAGTAATTGGAATTTCCATGGTTTATAGAATTGGAAACTAAAATTTCAACGGTGAATTTCTTGGCGCTATGATGCTATGGAATAAACATGGGATAAAATATCGTGAAACAGGATACATCTAGAAAATTCTCACCCTTAGCGAGGGTGGAATGTTCCATTACTTTCAAAGAATCCTGTTGTCCTGGTACTTTAGGCATTCGTCTCCACAACATCATACGTTTTCACGCCGTGTGCACGGATTATTTCTCTTATATGCATATAATATTTATGGATTACGTCGAAGTTCGGGTAATCGGTTATAAATAAAATTTCATCTTTTTTAATGACAGTTTTTTCATGGGATCTACACATAACGTTAGCAAGCATTATAATTACCATTTTTTCACAAGCAGTAAACTTTGGTAATTGTTTGCAAAGTACAGAATCGATTACCGAGGCTGATTCAATTATTCAAATTTGTAAATGATTTAAAAGAAAATAGTAATCTTTCTTTTTCGGCAAACTAAATAGAGATGTGGCTGAATCAGGACCATGGATCAGGATCTTCGAAAGCTTCGTGATTCAAGATGTCTCCGGGAACCTTGTAGGTGTTCTGGAAAGGTTTTGAAAGGATTCCGTGGTATTTCTGTGGAGACCTCGGAATCCTTGGAGTCCTATACGGGCCTTGATATGGACCATTTTTTTTCTTTCCATAAATGGGTACTTTTGACAAACTGCCAAGAAAAATACTCTACTTGGGCGGAAGTTGAATCGGGTTGGATTAAAGGTATCTTTACGCCTGTGTTAATGAAGATAATTGCCTCAAACGCGAAGCATATTTCCGGATCAAGAATGTATAGTGTTTGGTAGGTTGCACGCGACCACAGGATACGCGCAGGACTTCCTCCAAGGGATGAAATCCTAACCGCCTCGCCCTCCAATTGACGGGTCTTTACCTTTCTGAAGAACCGTTTCCCGAATTTACATTCAATGCTCTCTATATCAGGAGAACACATTCGGTGAGAATCGAATAAACATTATCGACTAATTGACGCGTACAGTTTGCGGATACCGCCATTATTTCGTTAACCTCTTGAGGGATGCAGACACGTATGTGTACCTTTAGTTTCATTCATCATTCCAAAAAGTTGTAACTAAATATTTGTTAGAAAATTCTCCAACAAAAAAGGTTATTTTACCAATTGATTGTCATGAATATTTCTGAATATATTTTACTTAAATACAGCTGAAGAATAAAGGAACATTTTTTTCCAGTCTTCATAAATTCGTCCCTGAAGAGGCTAATAGCCAATTGATCGAGGTCTCGAGTTACGTATCATAACAAAGAACTATTAATTGGTGTCTTGCGACTTAGTGATTAGTGATTAGTGGCACGTTTCTCCCGGGAGAGGGGATTTCGGTATCTCCTCCACTGCTACGAGCCTGGCTGTTGAACTACGTAGCCTACACAGACCAAGGGGGCTAGGGGTGGGGTTACCTATTAATGGCGGTATCTATTTATCCCGGCTTTCCACCCGATCCACCTTTAGTCTCGCGAACTAACGCAGGTAGGCGATGGTACAAAGTATTGTTCTGCGCAGCTTGTCCCCATGACCTTCCTTAAAGTGACGGATTTTTCACAGGTTCTGCTGGGGGTACGTGGTAGGGGTTGTGTAAATGTGTACAATGGGGACAGAGCCAATGAATTCATGACAGCAGGCATCCATTCAGTCCAGTTCGCAGAAACTACGTAAACGGATCGGCAAACAAGTACCTCCTCTCGTGGAACGGATTATAGTGTTAAATTATTCAAATCGCACTGCATCATCACACATCATCACACATCTTTCCAACGATCTTGAAGGTAGTGCATATTAATTTACTAACGAGCAGTGGCAAATCGCGAGTTTATCGCGAGTACACCGCACCAGGACGAAATGGTGTAAATACCGGAAGGAGACAGGAAGTCGTAGCGTAGGAAAGTAGAACCGAACAGAGGTCGATCACTGACGATCTGTCGAAGAACAAAGAACTTTTCTCCAAAGTGTCAAGGCCAGTAGTAGTACCTAACAAACATATCACAATAACATTCGTGATTAGTTATATAGTACTTTTGATCGATTAACACCAAATTTCATTTGTATCTCAAAATTTTAATCATAAACTGACTACTCTTGATTTCCACTTTCGCGTACTTAATATTACCGTAAACGGAAATCACTTTCGGATGTGTATCATTTGCAAGCTCTGAAATTATTTCTATACAGAGAATACGATGGACAAAACTTCAAAAGACGAAATAAGCTCGGTTATTAGGATAGAAGGAAACAGGAGCTAGATAGCCAGGACATTCCGGATCCTCAATTATATCCTACTGAAACGCCTGCACCCCTATATCTCACGAGCGTCACGAGTATGTGTTGAAAAGGGGGGCGTGCACCCTATGAATACCATACACACATACCCAACACGGGGAATTTTTTTTCTAGCGGAACCAGAAATGCATTAGGCTCTCATAACACCGTGACAATTATATCGATCGAACCAGGTATACATATACATATGTACATATAATCCAACGTTGTCCACAGGTGGGGCACCTCTCGTGCAGAACGTTTCCTCTCTACCAAGCTGGGAGATCGAGCAGGAAACGTTATAAACGGAGAGCTTGTTACAAAATTTCTATCGTCATTTCAAAGTGCTAGAATTTTCGTAGTCAACTGTTAGACTATTATTAGCGACGACGGCGATTTCTGGCATGTATAGAAGCTCGTTTATTGCAGCGTTCGTATTAAGCAAGCTCCAATCACGTCTTCCCCGCCAACCGCCCGTTCACTTGTTCGACGTAGCTAAATAATAGGGTGGGCTGGATGTACGCACTGTTCGATCAATTACCACCATTACCATCCCTGTTATTTTTAACGATATCAAAAAAGTTTATCACAACAGTTATCGAGTATTAAAAAGCGTTATATACGAGTTTTGAACTAAAATAGCCTGCAATAAACGAGCTCCTACTATAGTCTGACTATCATTAAATCAGTTGAACTCCACAGGATCGCTTCAAGTTGAAGCCTTCAACCCCTATATGCTATCCTGGAAACCACATCGAGCTGTATAAATATTCGTGGGGTCCGTGAATGCCGACGACACGCGCTAGTATCTTACGGATATCGAACGCCACTAGGATACCATGCGGAGCTCTGTGCTTTCAGGACGAAACTGATCCCTGTCGAGAATCCCGAGTAGCCGCGAGCTTGCGAGCGTTAAGTATTCCGTCTATCAGGACTGCATGCCACCTGGAATTCTTGTCCCTACGTTCACGTACACGACATTTCTGCATCTTTTCCGTTTCAAGGAATCCGTTGTCCATCCGGGGGCTCGTCAACGTCCTGTCACTCGTCAACCGCGTGGCGCCAGAAGCATCCGCGGAACCAGGACCCCATAATTCAGAAACGAAATCCTCATGGGTCCAGGACATCGAGTACATACATTCAAACGTGGCCCCACGTTCCGTCGTTCCCTGTGATAACAGGATCGTAGTACCTATACGGTCGAAAGCATTGTTTCTTTCGCGGAGAGCCGCGCGTAAATTAAAGACATCAAGACTCCACGAAAGGAAATCTTCAGTGGGAGGATATTAAGGAGAATTGGAATTTCGGAACGCTAGAAATGCAAATTTTCTGCAATACGATCGATGTCGCGGAATGTCCGAGAATTGTGCAGAAAAGACGACGAAATGGACCGCGAAGGTATCGTGTCTTATGCTTGTCGAAGCTTATTATTTTTCATCGAACGCGTCACATCTTCCGTGCATCTTAATTTTGACTGCGTGTCACAGGCGATCATAAAGCTGGTTGCGTGTACCGCCGAATAAAAAAATTCCAGATATTCGGATGGATTTCCGATAACGGGACCGTTGCTGTACGTGTACACGGACGGACATGTGTGCGCGTACGTGTATACATCGCACACCCCTATGACCGCTTACAACCCCCTGTATACCTCTAGATGAAACGTTGTATCGATTCGATATTGTTCAACGGACGCGACACGTGACGCAGAATTGTCTATTTTTCTGTGCCATTTAATAGATACATCGTTTCAAAGCCTGTTCCGTGAAACAGCCCCCACTGACGGTGGACGTTTTACGAGTCGCGAAGAAACTCCGATAGGAGGTTTTCTTCGATCGATCATTTCACGGGATAGCAAACAGACGTAAGACATAATATTGAAATGATAACAGGATTTATATTCCAATTTGAGCTTCAAAGCGTGGCCACGTTTCTTCATCAGGATACCAGCCGAGAGGTAGAGGGCAGCCGGTTTCTATTATTCATCCGCCCACAATTGATCGGAACGGGTGGTCTTGCGATTGGCTCGGCTGTAGGTTCTCTTAGTTAGCTCCTTAGGTATTTCCACACGGAATGGCTTTTTACGGAGACATTGGATTGAACATTTGATCCAAGCATTCTCACTGGAACAGATATCTGTATCCTTGATACCGTTTCGGACCCAGTTTCTGATCAGAACTCAATCCCTGATCAGTTTAGTATATAAATACCACATACAATAATATTATGATAAAAGTCTTTTTCCCAAAAAATCAGAAACAAAAGCTTTTTTTATTTATCTGAATATATAATAAATAAAGACCGGGAAACTTTTTTTTACCATTTCTCCTTTACTTTCTTTACAAAAAATTTTCTAAATGACTCATTTTTTATTTTGGGTCGCTAAAGGGGAAAAAAGGGCCTTAAGTGATCAGAAACTGGGTCCATAATGGTAGGATTTCTAACAATTATTGCAACGCGCTGAAAGCTTGTGTGCTCCACGTGCACCGATACAGCTAGAAAGAGTACGTACCAACCGGAGAGCGGTATCGTTAGTCGGGAACAATGTTGGTATACATCCTTGCCTCTTAAAAACACGGCAGCCTCTGGGCGTTTAAGTCCTCAAACCGTTCTAATTGAGGTTTCTCCTCGTTACCGC